AGCAATTTACTCTGAGCAGCTAATCGGATGCTACGGATCTAGCTTCAGTATCTACACACATAGACAGTGAGGTCTATGTGGCCTCTTGGCCAATCGGAGGCCAGGATGATGCTCGGTAAGCCAATAGCAGAGCAGCTATGAGTATGTTGAGCCCAGGAAACTCGCAGCTGTGACCGAAATAAACATCGTTCACTATGTAAACCAGTGTGGTGGTTGCTGTTGCCTTTTTTCGAACGAAGCAGTAGAGGTCGCTGTTGGATAAGACTTCGTTGTAGTGAATGTCTTCGCGAGGCTGGAGCAGACAAAATGATTTCGTATAACGCAACAGGGGGTTTTTCGTCGTATGGGGGGCAGGAGAATGGGAATTGTGTTAATGCATGAAGATTTTTTCACATAAGGGGGTATTTTCGCCCATGCAGGTTTCGTTCTAGAGGAGTTTCACTGTATGTGTTTGTAAAATGTGGATTTTTCCTGCTGTGAATTTTTGCTAAATTATCGAACGAGCTACCTTTAATTGACTTACACAACCAACAGGGGGTGATCTGAGGTAGAAATCAACACGTGGCACCCATCCACGCATTTACATTGAACAAGTCCAGTTTGAAAATGGCTTGTGCTCTTCTGCCACCCGGTGGAGTTCTGATTTGAAGCCTCTCGAGCAGATTCTAAAGGAGCAACTGGCAAGTCTGGCCTGCAATATTTGTGGAATTACTTCAGCATTGTTGATTTTTAACTATAGTGAATGGAATAGCTAACATTATTATTTTGAAATGTTTGTTTTCATTTCTATTCAATGAAATGTATGACATTTTTGTTGATTTATTGGAAATGAAATTAAAATATTAGTAATATGAACAATTTTAGAGCAACCATATCTTTTTCGAATTGTTTTACAGAGCAAAAACAAATAGTACACATGATAAACAATTTTGTTGTCATAAGTAGTTGGTTGATGTTATTTATTGATAAAAATTAAACAAAACCTTTGGTGAGATAAATTATTTCATGGATAGATTTAACATTTTCTTTAGTTTAGTAAATATCAATATAAATAAAAAATATTCAGATTTAAAACAATCATGTTAATTAATAATTAGAAATAATGACAATGAATTCCAGGAAATAAATGGATTATAGGAACAGAAAACATGAAATTAAAATATTATTTTCAGGTTATAATAATGCTAATAATAGGTGATTAACACTATTTAAATATTGGTCAATGATCTCAAATTAAAACAAATATGAATTTTTTGCATTTCAAAAAAAGAAAATTATAATTTAAAATAAATATGAAATGATTTCACTGTTCCACATTGTACACATTATGTTGACATCATTTTATTAAAATATTATAATTACATTCATTCTAAATAAGATCTAAATATTATAAAAAATATATATATCTTTTTTTTCAAACATACATACATACATTTTCAAAACGGAAACATTTACCTCATGTAAAAATGATCTCACCCATGTGTCTGTTTTTAACAATCAAATATGGCCCTTGAGCACAAGCTTGCCTGACTGTTTCCAAACCGAATTATGAGTACAAAATTATGATTATTTTTAAATGCTTTTACGGCAATTGCATTGGAAAGATGATCACATCAATTCACTTTGAAAAAAGGAAAGTCAACGGAGAGCAAAAGCCGAAGAGACGAGTGAGGTCTTCAAGGCCATCACTGTGCCTGGATGGGACTGTTATTAAATTACATGGCGGCTAATAGAAACCACGAACGCGTCTGCTTTGGCTCTCGGCAAACCAGCAAAACGCGCAACTAGGTTGATGTAAAACATTTTTTTTCTTTCTTTCTCCAAAGCAGGAAGTCATCTGTCATTGTTGATGTAACGCATGAATGTCTCCATAATCCAAGTAACACCTTGAACCAATTATCTGCACTTTATATGTGAGGATAAATTGGGGAAAATGGGTTTAAACCTGTGTTTGTATTGCGGTTAACGCGGGTCGAGATGGTGATGTGTACATGGGTGTACTGGGGGGAAGGGGGTGCAGAATAACATAGTCCGTGTCAGAACTATTATTGCCTGGCTTTGTAGTTTGTTTAACTTTTCCAACACTGACACAAGTATGTGCTTGATATGGACGCTTTCACGCCACAACCCTTTTAGTCCTCTGGTTTATTTGTTGGGTTCGAATAAAGTAATCCAACGCCGATGTGGACCAAATCAACCCAAGAGATAGCTGACTGTGAGACACCCTGGACCGGTCGCCAGCCAATTGCAGAACACACATATATAGGACACATATAGACAAACAAGCAATTACAGAATGTTGAATCTTAAATGTGGGATTCCAGGTTTAAGTCAGCCAGCATTTGTCATCGAGGAAAAACAATATATATGCCCTTGTTGGTATTAGCAGTCAACACGTGTTGCTCCACTGTTTGTGCACAAATATCAGTTGGGAGCTGCATGGCTCAGTGGTAGAGAGGTCATCAATCCAGAGGTTGGGGTTTCAATTGCCGGCTGTTGCAACCTTGTCGAAGTGTCCTTGAGCAAGATACTGAACCCCCAGGTGCTCCTGATGCTGCGTCATCACGAGGTAAATGAGGAAACAGTGTAAAGCGCTTTGAATACCAAATGTAGAAAAGTGCTTTATCAGTTATTGCGCATTTACAGTTGCTTAAAGGGTTCTAAAAGCACAAATATCCATGCTAACTGTTAGCATGTCAATTGCATTTTCCATTATATGTTAGCATGAAGCTAGCGGGCCATTGTTATGGCACTGTTGTTTGGTGCACAAATATCACTTAAATTGCAAATATCGATGCTAACCATAAGCATGTCAATGGCATTTTCCATTATATGTCAACATTAAGATAGCGGGCCAATCTTGAGGCAATTTGTGAAATGAAATGTTTGTTTAAAGGGTTCTAAAATTGCAAATATTGGCGTTAACCATTAACATTTCAATGGCATATTCTGTTATATGTTAGCATTAATCGATCAGGCGATTCATGTTTGGTGCACATATATCTTTTGCTAAAAGGGTTCCAAACCAGCAAATATTTATGCTAACCGTGAGCATGTCACTGACGTTTTCCATTACGTGTGCATTAAGATAGGTGGTTCTTCTTAAGGCAATGTGCGATGGGGGGTTTTTCATCTAATGTTTCTGCCTTTGTGATACTAAATGAATCATTTGCATGAAAATGTTCTATCCTTCCATCCATTTTCTGTATCTGAAAAGTGCGGTAGACGCTGGACTTGTCACCAGCCAATCACAAGGCATGCATTTATACTTACCATTTATTTTATAGTGTAGCTACTACATATGTTTTGGGACTATGCTAGGAAGTCTGATATCCGACCAGCAAGCCACCATGCAATTAAAAGCAATTATGGCATATCCTTACATTATAAAGCTCTGCCAATCTAACAAAAGCACCATCCTCTAAGTTGGAGGGAGGGTGCACCCACATATTTATTTATCAATTTTTTCTTATCCATCTCATTTTTTTTTGTTTTGTTTTTTTTTTTTTCATTTTTCAGGGTAAAACATAAGCCCTGGTAGAGTTTATACCCACCCATCATTTTCTTTCAACACCCCCCCCCTCCTCCGCGCCCCTTGTCTTCTTCTCAGCTGTGCCAAACCACTGTCTCTCTGGCTGCCTGTCACCACTCCAGCTAAAACCACTTAGCGGGGGGAACCTCAACTCTTCACACAGACAGGGTGCAAAAGGTCATCGACTTTATTCCATACAATGCCGCACGCCACTCAAAATTCTAATCTGTCGGTTTGAAGTTTGACTAAAAGTTGTCTAAAGTTGACTAAAAGTTACGACTTAGCTTTACCAATGATGCCTCATCAGATCGAGTAGACATAAAGGTCGACACACCCCTTTTAAATGCCAGGTTTCCGTGGCATAAAAAAAGAAGACCAACATAAATAAATCTTGATGCAAAAAAAATAAATAAAGAGAAAGCTCTGAGAGGGGAAGTCAAAACAAACAACTGAGATATGCTTGTGTTCAAAACTAAGAAATCACATTCAAATTTATGTTAAATGGAAGTCAGCACACACCTGCAAACCTTTAAAGGGCCATTACTTAAAATCCAAATAAATGTTCTAGTAGGATATGCCGGACGTTTTTCTTTCTTGTAGGAGCATGAAGTTTATCTGCTAGCACTAACTGCTCTTTTGAACTGTTCATAATTCCCTAAGGTCCCATTTCCACCACATTCACTGTTCTTCACTTTTCCAACCCCTCTCTTGTTTTCCATCGAGTTGTATTGGTCACATTGATAGAGGAAAAAGTTTGAAAATAAATTTTCCAGTAATCAGGTTTCTCTCACTTTTATTAGAAGATGGAGAAGTGAAAGATGCTCAAATTCGTGGGGTGGAGGAGTTGGATGGGCGCACGGCAGCAGAACAGGCCAAACAGATTGACCATAAAATATTGGTTTGGCGCCTTCTGGTGGCAACTCCATGCCAATGTTGAATTGAGGGAGGAGCTTTTAGTCATGCCATATAGCCTTTTGTCTATTTTGAAAAAAAGGGCTTTGCCGCAATTTTGTGGCATCCTCAGGCAATTACGAACTTTTTGCCATGGGCAGTATTACATTCAGGGACAGGGACCGAGTCCTACCTGGCTTCACTATACTTCACATCCAGGCCTTTGATTTTGATTTTGTCAGTCTTTTCTTGCTTCTTTTTTTATTTCACTTGGTGGTTGACATGCAAACAAAACAAAGAGTAAATGCTCAACCTGAAAATGTTTAGCATATGTTTTATGTCTGTCAATTTCCTCCTCTGTGGTGTAGAATTCGGCGGTAATTTGTGATAACTGGCACCAAACTGAAGCCGCCGCCTCTGTCTTTTGTGTACGTGTAACAGTGTTGAGTCTGTCAACGACGGGCTTTTCCACACCGTGGAGCTGTTGATTCAGAACCATTCACTCAGCCTGGTGGTGGACAATGGCGCCCCCAAGAGCCTGGGCAAGCTAGCGCGCCAACCATCCGTCGACCACAACACGCAGCTTTACATCGGAGGTACTTACACGCACGCACACCGAAAGCCATTTGCACAAGGGCACATCTGCATGTCTGTTTGCCGAGACGTCTGCCACTCGGGCACTGAGCCACAACAAACACACACTTCTGAGGAAGTGGCAAGGTGTCCTCAAAAAGCTTCCTAAGTGATTCTTTGCTTCCTCTCTGTCTCGCCACACCGTGCCTTCTGTCGTCCAGGCGTGCCCTACCAGGTCCTGGCCACGGGCCTTCGGACCAGTCCAGAACGCTCGCCTCAGTTCTTCAACGGCTGCATCCACAATGTCCAAATTAACGGGGAAGCGCAGGACCTGAGCTACCGAGCCACAGGAGGGCGACCGGTGGAGGGCAAGGTATCATTATTATAACTACCGTTATGTAACGGTTCATCTTTCATTCCCTCGCTATATCGATCTGATTTTTAAGTAGCACCACATTTTGCTATTTTAATATTGATTGTGAGAAAAGAATAGAGTGGACATAAAAAGTCTACACCCCCCTGTTCAAATGACAGGTTTTTGTGATATTCTTTGCACTGTTTTTATGGTGATGAGAAGTGTTGCGTTTACAGCAAACACACCTTTTGAAGTGATGGCCAAAAAGTTCAACAATGCTTTCATCGGACCAGAACACATTTTTCCAAATGTGCTTGAAAGATTATTGTTATGGTCCGGTTCGAACTGGGCAAGTAAAATGATAACGTTTCAAGAGAGATGTCACCGTTTGCTGAAAAAACATCTTCCAGAAAGCCAAACAAATGTCAGAAAAAGCCAATCAAAACATCAGAATTTTATTTGGAGTTAGTCAGAGATGTTTTAATAGTGGCAGGAGTATGTGTTTGGGTCCTTTCTCCCTGGTGTAAATAAACACTGACAGTAGAACTTCTCCTGCTCACAGGGCGATGGCGTCCTTGTGGGCTGTCACTCATGCAGCGTGTGCGCGCAAGGAACGTGCAGAGAGGGCGGCGAGATGGGCGTCACCTGTCAGTGCCCGCCTGGACGCAGTGGGACATTGTGCGAACAGGCCACAGTGCCAAATCCCTGTCAGGGCAGCAGGTGGGCACAAAACAATATGCAATCCATCCCTCCAACCATTTTCTGTGTCTCTTTAAAACACTTACTATGCAACTATCAAAACTAAAAGTAGGGTGGCCATGTTTCATTTGCATATTTCCCTAAACCGGGATTCAAAACCAGAATCGCCACTGTGGGACGAATGCCTGTTACCATGCCGCAGATGTTTTCAAATGAAGTTTGCCTTTTGATTAACACGCCGCTCTTTTGACGGCGTCAGCATGGACCTTGAAATTTGTCAACCACACATTTAGTTCCAACATTCTTTTGGTTTACAAGATGGCTGCAGACTCTTTTTTTTTTTCAAGGGGGGAGTTCTGCAGTTTGACTCATCATTTAATTAGTTGTTCCCAAGTGTGTCGTCGATCAGTCTTTTATCATCCTCCCGTCTCTCTTTTTCCAATTCTGTCTCCTCAGATGTGTTCACGGTTTATGTGTGCCCAAGGGGTCATCCTACAGCTGCAAGTGCAGCGAGGGCTACCAGGGCCAGTTCTGCGAGCGGCAGCAAGTGCCCGCGGCCTGCAGGGGGCAGCGCTGCGGGCATGGCGAGTGCAGAGTGTCCGAGGGTGGGGAGCCCGTCTGCAATTGTCTGCCTGGCTACGCTGGACCCACATGTGACACTGGTAAGCCTCAGCACACCCAAATGGGGTCAGACAGTGACAATTTGGCCGTAGGATTGATTAATCTGTGCGGTATTATGTCGATTAATGGATGATTCGGGAAAAACACACAAGATTAAAGTTTTTTACCAAAACAGGATATTATTTCAAGGCAAGGCATTTTTATTTATGTATCCCATTTAATACACAAGGCAACTAACTCAATGTGATTCACACAAGCAAAAGCATAACACCTAAAAGCATTTACAAACAGCCAAAGACAATCAAAAGGCAAAAAAAATAGAACAAAAGTCGATTATTGAGAAGGTGAATTTTAAACAGGTTTACTACCTATAAAGAATTAAGATAGAAAGGCATTTAAAAGCAAAACTCAAGAAATAAACAATGGCTTTCTAAATTCCTGACAGTGATTTTTAATGCTGAAACCTTTTTAACCTGGATGTAAAAGCATTTACACTTGTGGCTGACTTCACTTCTGTTGGCAACTTAACCATGTGTGTGCAGCATAACAGCTACATGCTGCTTCACCAGGTTTGCTTTGAAATCTAATTGACTAAATCTAAATCGAATTGGAAGTTTGCGGACCTCAGAGGCCGACTGGATTAATGTATTCAGGACCCAAAAATGTTGATGATCTGATGAATACAATCAACCAGTATGAGTTTCAACTGATAATACGCAAAAAAGTTCAAGTTTGTTTTTGTCATTTTGTCGTCATAACAAAAGTCATTTGGGATCGGCTCCAGCGAGAGAGAGCAACCGTCATGTGCTCCTCATGTCCTTTGCTCCAGACTTGACGTGTCAAGGTGAGATGGTGCGAGAGCAGTTGAAGCGCCACCAAGCCATGCGGACGTGCACGTCCACCAGCAAGATCCCGCGCATGGACTGCCCCCGATCGTGCCAAACGGCGGCGCCCCCCGGCATCTGCTGCGGTGTCAGCAAGACCCGCCGGAGGAAGGTGGTGTTCCGCTGCACCGACGGCACCTCGTACTCCGAGGAGATGGAGACGGCTCTGGAGTGCGGCTGCGCCAGGTGCCCGTTGTAACGGCACCCCGGCTCCACCCCGCACCCCCTCCCCCACACCCGTCTTGTGAATTTGGCACCGCCATTAACACAATATGCGTTTTGTTTACACATCCCGTTCGACGGCCGCCAGTTTGCTGCAGGAGAAACCACAATGGGGACACCGTGTGTGTACGTGTGTGTTTTAGAGAGCGCTTGCGTGTGTGTGCGTGCGTGCGCGTGTGAGTGTGTGTGCGCGTGCAGAGAGAAATATATTGTAAGATACAAGTGAGGAGGAAAAAAAAAAGCATAGAACTTATTTTTATTATGAATTTTCTCCTTCTAAAAGATGATAAGGACTGATTAGTTGTTTTTTTTTTTAATATGTTGATTATACGTGCTACATAGGATATTATTTTGTACTTTGTAAGAACAAAAAAAAACCTACATTTCGGAATAGAGTAACATTCCTTTAAAAAAAGTGTAAGAAATTATATATATGTATAAATCTATATAGAATTTATACCCTAATCCAATTAATTGTGTATTTAGTGTATTTGCATGATCTTTGGACACTTCGTTGTGGAAAATGAAAGTTCGCTCACTCCTTTTTGGCCTAAAAAGGGAACCGTACGTGCCTAGCTTGAAAAACAAAAACACGGAAATCAACTTCACCTTTGAGACTCTTGTCCTCCGAGATGTATTTTTTTAAGCAATGTTCATCTACACTTCCACTGTTTGTACACAAAACTCGGGCAGGGGTGGAAAACCGAAATGCGAATAAAACCTCAGTGGATTAAAAGTGCCACAAAATCCCCTCCATCCCCCAAACCAAAACCCTCTGGATCTAGTTCCATAAGTCAAAAATCTTCATGTCATCATCTTTTGTCTTTACACACTTTTCCTCGTTATGTGCCTTTTTTTGTGTGTAACTTCTTCAGGCCTCTGATTGGCTGGAACCGAAGCCATTCGACTCAGGGTTTCCAGTGTAGCTCCACATTACCAGCAGGGAAGAACTCACACGCCTATTTTTAACATTTTACCAGATTTTAAAAAATGCCAGATACCCCACACATGACAAAAAAAATTGTGTCGTGTGCTTTTAATACTTTCAATTGTCATTTAAAATATTAACACATCTGTGTCCCTTAAAGCGGTCAGGTTCACCCTAAAGCATTCGATGTTGATGATCTGATGATACCACTGAGGTATTTAACTTTTGGAAAATTAAGTTTGAAGTTGAATATGACAAGCAACCCAGCTCTGAGTTGTATTTTTATAGTAGATGCAACCGCTGCTGATTCATCGAAAGTAGTCTATTTCAATTCTTCCAGTTGATTCAAAAACATCCAAAATTAAGAGATCAAATCCGTAGCATTTGAAGATCATATGCACAATTGCGCCTATCCGATACCCCAAGTGTAGTACCAAGTCTGACCTGTGAGAGGCAGCATGGTGCTATACAACATCCAGACGACTGGAAAATACAAAGAAGAAAATAGAAAGTCCTTGGCTTACTTTTTGCTTAACTTGTTTTCATGATTTCTGATTGATTTGAGATTGTCCAAATCGATTTATTAAGAAGCTAATCAGCTCAGCGTTACCTTTAACGCCAACCCATAATTGATGAACTTGTGCCTGATCGTCAGTGTGTGTTTGTGTATTCCACTTAAGTGTGTCTTGACAAAAACTCTTTGAGTTGATTTTGGAGGGACCATGACTCTTTGGTTTCATGGGACATTGCCCAAATAATTGGTTGAGGGTTTGAGTGTGCTTACACTGCAAAAACTGGCCTTTCAAAAAATGAGAAAAAGAATAGAAGAATTAGAACGGTAGTACTAAATATGAACAAAATTGTACAATGGTACAATTCAGAGTGTCCCATTAACCCACCACGCATGTTTTTGGAATGTGGGAGGAAACCGAAATACCCGGAGAAAACCCAAGCGGGCATGGGGAGAACATGTAAACTCCAGACAGGAAGGCCGGAACCATAATTGAATCCTAACAACCTGCGCTGTGAGGCAGACGTGCTAACCAGGCGCTCACTGTGCCGCCTCTTGACTTGAAAAACCCAGCTTACAACGAGTGTCTTTATACAACCAACTCATAACCAGTAGTACATTTTCAGTTACAACTGAAAATAGCATAAGATTTTTCAAGAAGCAACTTGCTGAAGCAAGTTTTTATACACAAACTGTCTGATAAGAAGAAATACCCCCCAATGCATATTTTGCTTTAAGATTTTTAACCCCTTTTTTTTGCAGTGTAAGTGCACCCACTGAAAATGTTTGTCTTGGTCCCAGCTCTTGATTCTCTTTTCTTTAATTTTGAGTTAGTAAATAAAAAGGGACAGCAGTAAACAACGTTCAATATGTCTGTTCTATAAACAAAACAGGAACGTTAGCACCGGTGCTAACGCTAACATGACCTTTAAAGCTTACCAGGCGGGTCCACTGAGCATATTACAGACCACATGGAAAAGAAAAATAAAAAGCAGGTGATCTGAGAACACCACGGCAACGACAGAGATCCTCTTCTCCTGAGCCAGTGCGTCAAATGTTAATGCCGTTATTTTAAGCTCACTTGTTACATGTGCTGCTTTTTTTTTTTTTTTTTGTGCCAAAGTTTGCTGGATGTACCTTTGAATGCAAAATAAGTTGGTGTGGTCAGAATTCATAACGCTGCTCCGACCCAATGTTGGATGGACGCACACAGAGCTCAACAAAGTCAAAAGTAGTGCCTTGATTTTAAAAGATGTCTCGGAAAAAAAAATGTCCTAATGTGATTTATTCATTAAACTCCACAACTCGGGGGAGAAAAAAAAAGTCACTCATTGTCATGCAGCAACAGCAACACATTGCAGAAAAGGAAACTGCAGCACCACAGAAAAAGCCGCCTGCTGTTGTTCTTCACATGTGATGCATTCACAAACGCCTCATCTATGCGCTCTTGCGCGACTATTAAAAGCATAGCAAGGCACGAAAAGGTAAAACACTACTAGGCTTGCAAAGGGAAGGAACATTTTTCTTACGTTTCCATGGGAGACTTTTGAAAAAGTTATCGGTCAAGAATAGATGCTAACATTTAATGTGGTCTTAAACAAATATTTTCTTCAATCAATTATTTCATTGAAGAAAAACAAGTTCAACATTACTCACAAAACAAAACGACGCATTTAAAACCACGCAACTTTGCCTTGGGTTTGTTACTAGCTTAATGCTAATGCAGAATGCAAAACGCCCTGCATGAGCTCATGAAACAACATAAACCGTGGAACAACACATCGACACACAATATAACAATACTCACAGGCATACATTCTTTATCCCCTGCTAAAATGACTAAAAGTGCATCTTACTAGAATATTATGAAATTATTATTCTACATGTAAGTCTTTAGTTCATGACCAACTGGTGGCCATAACGCGTACCCCAGGAGATGCACATTGTGAGGCCCATGGGAATGTTCCAATTTTGAAAAATTCCTGCAATTTTGCAACCCTAAACACTACTGTATTCTACTTTAACGTACTCTACACGTTTACAAAAGTGTCCCATCGGCAGTATTATCTCCAGTTCAGCTGCTTTTCCTGATGTCACGGCTCACCTCTTTGTGTGACAATTCACGCTTGCCATTTTCGCTCACAACCCCTGTACAACCCCTCGACCCCTTTGAAGGTTTCTTAGCTCGTCAATGTGAAGACAGAAGACAAAATCATTTCAATCCAAACACTTCAATGTTCTCCAGGTTGAAAACACAAAAGTGATTGATGATGCAGATGTTGAATGTTAAAAATTAAACTACCATTGAAACTTTCTCTGTCTCACTTCCTTAATGTTCCTGAATACATCACCGCTGCCATTTTCGTTTCTATTTGTAAATCTTGCAGGTCATAAAACATTTACCGGTGCTTTTTCAAAATGACCTTTGAAATTAAATGGCTTATAGGTGAGAAGATTTTGAAAAAATATACGTGCAATGAAAACCCCTGTGTTCTCTAATGACCCAGCTAACTTAGCTCCTCCCTGACACACAAAGATCCGAGTCGCTTGTTGTGCGATTGACCACAACAACACTAAATGGACACCAAATACTGGTACCACTCTCCTATTAGCTTTGCCACCATCATGTGGCACGTTCGTTAATTGCAGAAAGACCCCAATTTCAACAATTGTCACGCAATTTGTTAAATATACTTGCAATGAGCAGAAGCACGCAAAAAAAAAGTCAGCTGTGAAATTCTTGTCGTTCAGGGGCCCACCACCTTTTGCTCGGTCAGTAAGCATTCATTTTGTGCCTAATATTTTAAAACCTTTGATGCAAATACGACTTTTAACATGTGGCTGTTTTAGAATGGGAGACATTAACACAGATTAAAAAAAGTTTATTTATTTGGGGGTTGCGGGGGGGGACAAGTGTTTTTACTGTTATTCATAAAATTATTATGAAAAATGACATACACAAACAAACACAACGGGAATGAAGCTAGACTGATAAAGAGCAAAAGCGCAAAATGCTTTGGAAACTTACCTTTAAAGCGGGTATTTACAAAAAAACAAAAAAAGGCCAAAGAAAACTCAGTACACTCAGTGGTTGGCTTTGAATTTTGACTTTCCATTCAAACTGACCTAAAAATCTTGTCAACTGCACACAAGAACGACGTGACAGGAAACGTTCGGTCAAAGTCGGTGGCGCGTTGTTGCACTCTTCACGGCCTCTTTTCTCCACTCAGAAATGATTGTGAGGATTTTTTTCTGGATGTTGCTGATGCTTCTTCACCAAAGACGTATGTTCTGTTCTAACTCTTTTTAAGAATCAGTTCTCGTTGGTGAATTGTAGGAAGAAATTATACCATGGCATTGCGGCTACAGTGTTGCAAGACAACTGAATTCCGGTCAACCGCTGTTCTTTTCATGTTTTTTTTCTGTAGAGCCTCTTAACTCTTTGCTAAAAAAACTAAAAGATTCTGATCCAGTTCACGCTCAAAGGCCAAAGCCCCGGCTAACAAGAAAGTTGCAATTTTGTTAGCAAGTATGTTGAAGTGCCGGTGTTAAATACTTTAACGGGAAGTAAAAGTACTGTACGGATACTTGTGCAACAAAACGACTCGAAATAAAAGTAGAAGCACTGAAGCGGCTCATTTGGACTATATTTTACAATATGCTAGCATATTTGTATAAGTCATTATTTTAGCTTTTTGGGAAAACAGGAAAAAAAAAAACAGCAAATTCATCAAGCAAGTTGTCTGTCTTTAGTCTTTGCTGACCTGGATGACTGACATTTTTTTTACCCAGCAGGCACATTAGTCTTTTTTGGTGCTATTGATTGCAAAAATGACATGGGCAATAATGCTATTAGGCTAACAATTTGCGCCTTTTAGCTAACCAATGCGCCGTAGTCTAACGCTAACATACAGTGACGCAGCAGTAAAGTTATAATTACGCTCTTTTTTTTTTTGTTTGTTTAAAAAAATACTTCTAAGCCATAAATATCTAACACTAGAGTAAGAAACAGTTTGTGCACCATGTGCCATGTGTCACAGTACAAGGCGTTATTTTCTAATTGTTGCTCAGCATTCATGAATCCACAGGTGCCATGATGTCCAACTACACTCTTACGCAGTGGCCAGCAGAATTAGGCCCACTGCATCAAGGAGACCCGGTCCACCTTCTGTGCTCGGTGCTCTTTGACCAGAAGAACGACACGTGTGCGGGGCGACACAGCGTGCATTGGCTGAGAGTCGGATCCCATTCAGGCCTCGCCCATGCCGATGGAAAGACAAATGAGGAATGCGACGAGATGAGTCCCAAACGATGCATCTACAAGCTCTTCATCAATGTCAGCGAGTCGGATGGCGCCACCTACTACTGTGCTCTACAGGTCTGTGGGAACTTCATGTTTGCAAATGGAACAAAACTGGACTTGCTTGGTAAGTACTCTTTACCCTTGGTAACTTTTACGGGGTGTTAGATTGTCGAGCAGATGCACTGTGGCTTAAACTGTTAACTTATTTTAACTGGTTTGTGAGTTGATGCACGACTGACAAATTTTTTTTTCGCAATATTGGGATTTCGAGTTGATGAACCTCAAATGGATAATGGATGGATCGATAGATACTATGGATTGATACTATGGCGGATGGATTGTTGGATGGATGGATGGTGGATAGAAACTGTAATTGTATGAATGGGCAAATAAATTGATGGATGGACAGATGAATGGATAAATGGAAAGATAGATACTATAGATTGATATTATGGATGGATCAATGGTGAATAGATAGATACTGCTTTTGGATTGATGGATGGACGGACAGATGGATGGATGGATGGATACTGTAGCAGTATAGATGGATGAACCTTGGATGGATGGATGCTGGATAAATAGTTAGATACTGTTGAACGTATGGATGGATGGTGGATTGATAGGAAGATACACTGGATGGATGGACGGATTGATGGTTGGAGAACATGACACGCCAAGCAAATTTCACGATTAGTGTTAATTTTGCAAGAATGAATAAGCAAATTGGTAGCCGGGGATTGGTGACGCGCAACTGGGCAAGGGAATACGCCGTCCAATGTTTTCATTCATCATCAGAGTGGATCAGCCGTGCTTTGTTTGGTCCCTCACTTAGGGCCTGTTTGACCCTGCCAGGGGCATAAAGTCACAGACAACTTAGCTCACACCTCGGGACAATTTATAATGTTCAATCAGCCTGCCATGCATGTTTTTGGAATGTGGGAGGAAACCGGAGTACCCGGAGAAAACCCACTTAGTCACGGGGAAAACATGCAAACCCCACACGGGAAGGCCGAGCTGGAATCGAACCCAGTACCTCTGCACTGTGAACCACTTGAACACCGGGCCGCTGAGGTCAAATATTTTTGAGAAAATACATTTGTAAATTTGCAAGAAGAAAGTCATAGCATTGTGAGAACAAAGTGGTCATGTCAGAAAAGTCATGTGGGAAAAGCGATGCGGAAAAACAAAATGATGCAAGAACAAAAGTGACAAAGATAAGAAAAGAAAACCTTTATCTGTCTCACAATGGATAACTTCCCTATTTACAGCAGTTAAATTTATGAGTATTAGTCTAAGTAAAAATTTTACTTCATTTGAAGTATTAATATTTTCGTGAATTCATGTGACTTCAGATCACACTTGTTTTTACAATACAATACAATTTGTGCTCATCAAAAAGATGAGTTCACCAAAGCTGTCTGTTACCCTTCATTCTGCCGTTGTTTAGCGAGGACGCTCACGGGTGTGCGTCTCCTTTCATTTCTTCAGAAAATGTGATGCCAGTGGACAGTTCACACAAGGAAATTCTTCTATTTTCTTCCATCTTGGCCTTCAGTCTACTGGTCGTCGCCTTACTGATCAACATCATTATGAAAAACAACATAGGTAATCGAAGGTTAGCGTTTCCCAACCCTCGGTGAGCCAAGGCATATTTTTTGACTCTGGAAAGCTCTTAACATCACACCACCAAACAAAAATGGCCGAAAAAGTAGTGCCTGGTATTGCTTACTGTAAATACAGTACATTGTAATTACTATACAGAATGTCATATTTTTGTTTTGGATATGTGCCTTTAAGGGGCGAGGCCAAGCGGGTAACATCAGGAGTAGTATACGTGTGAACGTTTGGGCGTGAGTTGTGGTCGACAGCAGCTCCTTGCAAATTTTGACGATTCATACGGTTATTCAAACGTAATGTCCTTTGAGTTAGTAATGACCAGTTCAGGGTGGAATCCGCCTTTCACCCAAAGTCAGCTGGGATAGGG